TGCATTGTTGTTGCCATTGGACATCCTCAAGCCCACAGGTTTATATATCATCTTTGTATCTACTAGGTCATTTAATTTCTTTCTTGGCTATACATTGAGTATTTTCTAAGTCAAGCTCAAGCATATATATGAACAACATACTGTTTTCTAATCTCACATGACGTTATATTGGTGTGTTCCCTGCTCTAGACTAAATTGATTCCTCTTCGTGATCAACTAGCCCTAAAAAAACTTACAAATCAAATCATATCAAATCAAATAATAAAAAAAAAACCCCTTAAAAATGAAGTGATGGTGTAAATTTATATCTAATGCGATGTGAACTACAACTAGAAGGAATCTAATTCATACATTTATTTTTGAACTACTTCATTATGCATTTTTTTACTTGCTGGCATAAGATCATCTATATCATTTCCTATATCATTATTTGTCTCATACTCTTTTGACAACTAGTTTTTGATGAAATGATAATATGTAATTGATATAAAATAAAAATAAAAAACAACAGAGAGTAAGGCAGATGAAAATTCTTCCCGATGCTCTATCAATTAATCCACTACAGCCTTCTTTTATTTTTGTTAGTAGTAAATACTAAATAGTAAAAATTGAACCCTAGACCCAATCCCTTCTCTACTGGTATATTTTAAGTTAAATGACAGCTTTGGCAGTTCACTGCTAACTAAGGTTGCAATTATTGAAAATTTCATCTGATCTTACAATGATAAAACCAAACTAAGAAAATAAAACATAGAGAGAAAGTAGGGACAGAAAAAGTTATATATCCTATTAGATGAAGTTATATATCCTTTCACTCATTGACTTTCAATTTGAATTCAGAGTTGATATATCAATAACCTAATTTTGCCACTAAACAGTTAGTCAAATTCACAAATTAACTTTCAATTTGAATTCAGAGTTGATATATCAATAACCTAATTTTGCCCCTAAACCCTCCAAATAATGACCCAATTGTTTTAAGAGCTCAAAGTAAGCTCCACATGTTCTATTGTGGTGGTGCTCAGCTCAAGGGCCTGCTTAACAGCTTGCTCTGGATTGAAAGAACAATAATATCGCGAGTGTAAAAAATTTACTCAGAAAAATAAACTTATAACTTTAACTATAAATTTATATCAAAAAATAATTTTTAAAATAAAAATTAAATTATATTTTCATTATTTATAACATTTTTGTTGAAAGGATTGGGGGACAAAGGGATGATGACAACATCACTAGATTTTGTCTGATAAAATGGAGACATATAAGTGTAGTTGAGAATGGCCCCTACTACCCCCACTTGCATATCCCACGAGAGAAAACCATGCTAGCACAAGTATTAGCTAGATTACAATGCCTTCTGGTTAGTGTGTATTATGATAAATACTTAGCACTAATTACTCGATTGCGATTTTGGAGTAAGAGTATTTTAATATTTCATATTTATGTTATGTCGCCTTGATTTGATATTAATGCATTTATAGTTAAAAAATTCAGACGTTTTTTGTATTATATTATATTTACTGATTTTTTAAAAATATTTTTTTTATAAATAATTTACTTTTAAATATATTTAAGTAAGGTGCATCTAAAAATATTCACTAAAAACAAAAAAATAATGAAAAAAAAAACTCAATTTTTAAAAAAATGAATTAAGAAAATTAAAATCAAATACACTCATTATTTTTATAAAAATAAACTAATATAATTTCACCTAAAAAAACATATGCGGTGATTGTGAGGAACAAACAAAACATAATAATCTTGGCCGAAGTAAACCAAAAAGAGATTATGATAACAAGGAGCTTGGAGCTCTAAAAGTTTAACAAAACCTATTATTAGATACTACGGTCATATTTGTTTAGTTGATTAGGATAGAAGGGAATTAAGAATATAATAAAATTAATTAAGGAGATTATTAGTGTGGTGGTAATCATAGGATTATAGTATTAATATGTAAAATTAATATTTTTTAATTTTTACTATTTTTTTAACAATATAATTATTTTTTTCCTCAAAAACATATAATTTTATTTTATAAAATATTCATTTTATATTGTTAAAGCAGCAAAGTAGTTTCACATTCCTCAAAAAAAGAAAAAATTTGATGATTTGAGCTCGTTGTTCTCCAATATTGTATAATTCATAAATTAATTTTTCAATCCCATTTCTTGTGAGGAAAAACTAAACTAAACTAATTGTGGTATGAGAACAATCCCACTCAATAATAAAACTACCAAATAAGTCATCAAGACTTACTTCATTAACAATCCAATCCTACTTCCCAAGACAGCCAAAAAACATGGCCTAATGGAGAGGGTTTTTAGCAGGGCTGGTATAAGGTTATCTAATCCGTACAATCTGCCCTACCCGACTCTACCCGCACACCTAACCCAAACAAAACCAATTAAGAACAAAACCCTAATCTCACTCTCTTATCTCACTGACTCACTGAGACTGAGAGAGAGCTCTCTTAATCTTCTCTTCTCTCTCTCGTTTTTCATCTACGCAGCTCGTACATGACAATCGACCTTTGCAATCAATTCTCTCTCTCCGATAACTCTGAAATAACGCTCTCTCTGTCTCGTTCTCTCTCCCCGATTTGTGTTTTTTTTAGGCAATTAGATCTGTCTTACCCTCTTTCGTTTTTCATCTACACAGTTCGTATCGATTAACCTTGATCTTCTCATTTCTGTCTCGTTTTTCATTTGCGCAGCTCGCACACGACGATCGACCTTCGCAATCGACTCTCTCTCTCGGCAACTTTGAGGTAATTCTCTCTATTTCGCTCTCTCTTTCCGATCTGTGATTTGTATCTCTGTCTCTGTCTCTTTCTGTCTCTGTCTCTCTGTCTGTCTGTCTCTCTTTCTCTGTCTGTTTCTCTCCCTTCCAGATCTGTTTTACTCTCTCTTGTTTGAAATTGTTTGAATTTTTTGAAATTAAATCTGTTTAGATTTGTTTGTGTTTTTTGTTTTTGTTTAATTTTTTGGGGGAGTTTGATCTTTGTAATCTGAATCTGGTGGGTGGGTTAATCTGATCTGATCTTTGTAATTTTAACTTTGTAATATGATCTTCGTAATTTGATCTTTGTAATCTGAATCTGTTTAGATTTGTCTCACTCTCTTGTTTTTGTTTAATTACTTACTTGTTACTTTTGAATCTGTTTAATTTGAATCTTTGTAATTTGTTTACTTTTGAATCTGAATCTGTTTAACTTGGTCCTTGTAATCTTTGTAATTTGAATCTAATTTTTTTTTTGAAATTGAATCTGAATTTTTTTTGAATCTAAATTAAATTTGAATGAACTTGAATCTGTGAATTTGAATTGAATTTGCTATTCCGCTATTTTGTTACTCTGTTAATTACTTACTTTGTTACTTATTTTGAGTGGGTGATATTGAATTTGAATTGAAATTGAATCTGATTTTTTTTTTTAATCTGAATTGAATCTGAATGAAATTGAATCTAAATTTTTTTTCTTGAATCTGAATTGAATTTGTAGTACAATTTGAATGGAGGATACTATTGAATCTCCCGCAGTGAATCTTTTACCTCCAGAATCCTCTAATTCTTAAATAAATGTCCCCTTAGCTGAACCCGAGCGAACCTAAACCTAAGCCTCTTAAACCCCCAAGGAGAAAGAATGACGATGAAGGAGGGAGAACACCATTCACAGTTTGGGATCATTTTGATAAGGTTTTTGGGACTGATGGAAAGCGTAGAGCCGTATACAAATATTGCAAGAAAGAATATTTGGCTGAGTTTAGACTTCATGGGACTAGCAATTTGAGGAGTCATATACTCAATTGTAAAGAATATCCAAATAAGGATAAGGATGGTCAACAAACATTAAATCTTAAACCGAAACAAAATGAAAAGGGTGTTGAGGTTGTAGCAACAACGTTTAATTTTGATGCTTGTAAAAGGTTTCTTGCGGAGATGGTTATCATTAATGAGTTGTCATTTAGATTTGTGGACGGAGTTGGGTTTAGAAGATTTTGAAATGCCATGTAAAAATTTAAGTGGTAAGAATAATTTCCACAACTGACAGTTATGCTAAAATACTTAGTATTCTCGACAATGTGCTTAGAGAGTGCAAGTGATCCTGTCAAAAAATTGAGAAACTCAGCAATCTTTTGTGCATTCTTCTCTTGCCAAAGATGCCAAAGTGATCATTTTAAAAAGGACAGGCATAATAATAAAATAATAGCAATCTCATGTACAATATATCTAAAAGTTAATGAACAACTTCAAGCAAATCTTTGAACCTAATTTAGCCCATGAGAAGAGAGCCACTTCTACCAATTTATTTTTGTTTTGCAGCTCCCAAAACCATCGAAAACCAGAGAAGATGACTTTTAAACATTGTTAAAAAAAAGAAAAAAGAATAGCAAGTTGAACTCAAGTTATTCAACTCAATTGGTTTACAATCCTTATTTAGTCACAACATTATATTTTTTTTTTTAAGTGACACATTTTGCCAGCAATTTATGCATGCATAACATTACCAGAGTTTATACATGAATATATACCTCAATGAAAGAATTACACCTAGAATTATCATATAGAAAGTCTATGAACCCAGAAGCAGAGACAATAAACAGAACCAGAAAATTAGTATGCCACTCACACATGAAATCAATTACAATATTTCAATGTATTTTCTCGATATTTTTCTGATTTTATTTTTTAAACAATAGAACTGCTCATTATCATAATCTTATAAACTTATTCCCCTAATAAAATGGGATCCATAAATTATTTAGAATTAAAGGGTAGTGTCTATGTTTACTTGTAAGTTGTATGAAAGACTTTTGAAAGGCAGTCTCAATCTTAGCTGATAAAACATGCTCTTTTGCACATGAATATGAACCCTCCATAGAAGTGCACAACTTGCATAATATTAGAGAGAGATATGAAGCACGGGTACTCCAAAAATATTGCCGTACAAATACCGAGTACTTACTGGGTGCGGGTATACGTACCTGTACGGCTGTATGTGTACCGGGTACGCCAAAAACGCACCAGGTACGTTTTATACGATCACTATAATGATGGGTACGTAATGGGTACGCCACGGTACGTTTTGGGTACTTCAGGGTACAAAACGAGATTTTTTACAAATTAAAGGGTACCGGAGCAATTTTTTGGTCTATTTAAAAAAATTATATAAATTTGGGGTACTTTTGTAATAAACAAAACATGAAACAAATTAAAATTAGGTTCTGCTCTATTCGATTGGCTCTCTCTTTTTATTGAAACACAGAGAGACTCCAAGAGCTGAAGAACTCCTTCCTGCGAAGCTATTGAAGAGGTTTAATCGAAGGTGCTAATCGATTCTCTCCTTCAAAGATCACATTCCGGTAAGTACATCTTCGATTCTTCCTCCTCTTCTTCTTCGATTCTTCTTCCTTTTCTTTGTTCTGTCCAGATTTTTTTTCTTTGTTCTGTCCATCTTCGATCTCTTTGTTCTTCGATTCTTCCACTTCTTTCATTTTTTTGTCCAGGTTTTTTTTTCCTGTTTCTTCGCAGCAAACGAAGAACGAAGACATATCATTTTTCATTTTTTTTTACCAGATTTTTGTACTCCTCCTTGGCAGCAAACGACCCCCTCCGCTCCAATGACGACTCCTCTTCTCGTCAGGTACTCCCTCTTTTCCCTCCGTTTCTAGGGTTTTGAATGCTGTTCTGTTTTTGCATGCTCTTTCTTTTGAATCTCAATCTCTGTTTTTATTTTTTGAGAACTTCCATTATTTTTTTTTAATGTGTTTGAATGCGTATATTAGTATATTCAGTTGGTTTTTTAGACTGTTTGTTGAAATGAGAGGTTTGTTCTGTTGTTATGGTTGTTAAGCTGTTTCTTTGTTTTAGGCTCTGTTTGATTAGAAAGAAAATTTGTTTGAATGTGAAAGGAAAGGAAACGAAAGGAAAGGAAAGAAAGGAAAATATATTTTCTTGTAAACATTTTATTAGGATGAAATTTTTGCAGGAAAAAGATAGAGAATTTTTTTTTTTATAATTTTAACTATAGGTAACCCCCTTGCATTGCATGGACAAATTTTGTTTTATTATTATTATTTTTATTTTTATTTTTATTTTTGTGCAAGAAATTAAAAACTCAATTACCATTGCTAATGTGTGTTGTATAGAAAAAACTAATTTTGTTGTTGTTTCCTAATCTTTCATGCTAAACAAACTTACCAGAACAGATTGGTTTTTGAATCAATGTGAACAACTTGTGCTGAGTTATATTAAAATTTCATTAAGCTAATGGGTGTAGTGTGTAATAAAACGTTTTTGTTTATAATATCTTTTCTTTGATATACTTATAAAAAAAAAATAGGGGGATTACATCCATATTTTTTATTACACAAGTATGGAGGGTGCCCCCCACAGCATTTCACACGGTATCAAAAAAAACTGAATCAAATTTTCTTTTTTTCATTTTTTTTCCATATTTTTGTACTCTTTTTATATTTATATTTTTTATGTTTCCTCTTTTTTTTTTGTAATTTCTCTTTTTAATAATGTTATTGAATTTAATTTGTATGTTGGATGTATAGCTATAAATTTAAAATTTAAAAAATAAAAAAAAAATTTGATGTCCCCCAGCCGTACCCGTACCATACTTTTTTAAGAATTTTCTGTATCAGAGTACCCACATCGTACCTATACCCATATCCATACCCATACCTATGCTTCATAGACTCCAACTCCTAGCGCATCCACTCAAAATTTGGCACTTAGAAATTTTACTCAAATTTGAGTTTATCCATTGGAGTGCTTCATATCAAATGAAGTTTTTTACTCAAACTTCCACTTTGAGTAAAAGTACAAGTAACACACCGTTTGGATCATAAGTTGAGAAAAAAAAATTATTATAGTCTCTCATCTACGTGAGAAAATAAGAAGAAAAATTTGATTATGTTTTCTCACTATCATGTTTAGATGGGTAAAAAGAGCAAAGTATGTCATGTAGGGATATTGGTAGAATTTAAATTTGTTTCTAGGGCGAATTACACTAACTGTCCCTATAGTTTGGGGCTTGTGTCACTTTGGTCTCTGATCTTTCAATTGTGATACATTTGACCATGAATTTTTAATTTAGTTTCAAATAAGAACAATTGAAGACATTGTTGCTCCATTTCAAGGGTAAAGTTTTCAATTTGATAACATATAAACTAATTTGACCCCAAAAAAATGTCAAAAAAATATTTTTGAGTTTTTAAAAATTATTTCTACCTACCAAAGATAAAATTATATAAAAATGATAAATCTTTTATATTTTTATTTTTTACTAAGGGGTTGTTTGGGATGATCTAAATAAGTACACTTTTTGACTTTTTACGAAAAGATGTGCAAAAAAGTAAAGAGGTGATATGACTCAAAAAAATAAAAAGTATACTTATATAGCACACCACAAACAAGTCTTAAATTAACTTTTAATATATGTTTGGATGATGATCATATAATGGGTGATTGTTTTTGTTGATATTTTTGAAAGGTTATCATGTAATAGATGGTTGTATTTGTTGTTAATAAATATTTTTGGATGATTATCAGATAATGGATGATTATTACTCTTTTAATGTATAACCGATATGTTTAATATATGAAATGTTTTTAGTTTTGGATTTTTTATTTAATGGATTAGTTTAATAATGACATCAAATTTGTTGTCATATTTGACTTTTGGAAAAATAAAAACTAATTTAACAAAAAAAATATCAAAAAAAATTATTTTAAAAACTTATTTCTACCCTCCCAAAAGATAAAATTACATAAAAATGATGTGTTTCAAAAAAAAATCACTAATTTAATTTTTAATTTCTTAGAAAAATTTTCTAGAAATAGATTTTAAAAACCAAACCAAACATAACTTTATAACCAAGAAAGTTGCAGTATTATTCATTAAAAAAAATGCCATTACATTTCAAACAATATACGAGTTAACTAATACAAAATAAGTTATATGACAATTTTGCCCTTGAAATGAACTATTTGCAAAGAAAACTTCTTTGATTGTTATTATTTGGAACAAAATTCAAAATTTAGGATCAAACATATCACAATTAAAAAATTAATAACCAAAGTGACACAAGTCTTAAATTATAGAGAACGCTAATGGAATTTGCTGTTATTTCTATGTATTTTAATAGGCAATCTCAGAAAATTACACAACCAATTAAGGTTCGTTTGGCATGAAGGTTTGGGTTGGGCTGGGTTGGGGCAATTTTAGCCACAAAAAGACAAAATAAGCTAAAAAACTAATAAGACAAAATGTCACATTCAAACCATAATCATTTAATTTTTTCTCTCACAAAAGTCAAAAAAGCCAAAAAGCCCATCCCAAAAGAGGCTTTTTAGCCCCAGATTAAAAAAGTCAAAACACCAACCCACATCCGAAACGAAGGCAGTTGTTATCTCACCACATTTGGTGAGAAATAAACTCTTTAAAATAACAGAGTTCCATTTCTCATCAATTCGTACTATTTCTCATTGTTTGCACTTATTTTTGCTAGGTTCTGTCGACAGGTGGTCTAGTTAGTGGAGGACACGTGGCCAAGTCTAGAGTGGATGTCCAGCATTAGAGGATCATGACTAACAGTTGAAAGTGGGTTTTTGCATATGGGTTGACTATAAGTCATGGAACAATTACTGGCAGCAATCATGGAGTTAGTGGGCAGCCTTTCAACAGAAAGCATGAGACAAAGTAGGAGCTTTTCTCTGTCGAGAGAAGGTTAAAAGAGTTTGTGGGCATGAAATAACTTGAAAAAGAGGTAGATCAACAGACAGAAGTGTAGGATTAATGTAATTGAAAGGCCTAGAAGCCAGGGAGTAGTTGCAGCAGTTACACAGCAGCAGTTGTAGGTTGGGGAGATCATGGGGGCGTGTGGAAGAAGAAGTATAAATGCCAGATATTGGCAAAAATGGGGGGACATCAACAACAGCACAACAACTTAATTTTACACTTAGGAGTAGTTGAAATTGTAATTTAGGAGTAGTATCTATAATTGTAATTTGTACTTGTTGAGTGAGCATAGGTGATTTCAGTATGAAATTGCTTCTGTTCATTTAATCTACTTTGTTACCATCTGTTGATACAGTAATTTGAAGTTGTTTCCTTTTATTCAATCTACCTTGTCACCATCTGTTGATCAAGAAAGTTTGTTTTCCTTCTTGTTTACTTTGATGTCACTGTTTAGTCCAGAAAAGTCCTTAGTTTTTTGAGACATTGGAACCAGAACCACAATTGCTTGATTGTTTTTATTTAAGTTGTGTAGTTTGGATTATTGCTTGGTTGCTGTCGATCTAGCCCTAGCATAATTTTTACTAACAATTTTTGGCACGCCTAGTGGGACAATCTTACATAATTTGGACAAGAAATGGTGAAGGCTAAGAAACAGGTTGATAAGCATGCTGAAAAGGACCTGCTGAGTTTGAAGAAGAAGAAGTGGACAAGGACTTGGTCTTTGCTGATGATGGTGGTGTTCAGCATGTAGGCCAGGCAATGACCTATAAAGGCCATATGGATGGCCAATCAGTGGGTACAGGAAGCCTGGTAAGTGGCCATGCCAAAATTCCAACAGGGGTTCTGATGGCTCAAATAAGGGATGCGCTAGCAAACCAGTCATTAGAAGAGAATCAAATCCTACTGGGAGACGTGAGGAGTGTATTGAAAGCTCCATTGATGGAGCATGCAAGCCAGACTGAAGCAAAGGCATAGAAGGTGACCTCAAGAACACACATGGTGCCACCAACTGGTGTGCCACAACAACCTGCTAGTGAGCCAATGTCCTTTTATAGGGACCCAACTGCAGAGGAAAGAATGCATGAGGTATTTCAAACCCCAAATGTTAAAATTCAAGGAAACTGGCATGGGGGGCAACCTGGGTCAAATGTGTGAATTGGCCTTCGTATAGGGATAGGAACTCAACCTTTTTCCATTCTACTCTCATTCAAAGACACGAAAGGAACCAATTAGTTCGACTAAAAGATGAGGTTGAGATTTGGTTAGAATCGGATGAAAAAATTGATGGCTATCTGCACCAATACTTTTTGGAGTTGTTTCGTTCAGTTGGGGGCTGCGAATCGTTGAAGGCATTGGCAATGGTGCAACCTTCTATATCAGATGAGATGAATTAGCGGTTGCCCCGCCTGCCCCTGGTGATGGTGATGTTGATGGTGATGACGATGATCCAAAAGGCTTCCCATCTGGGATGGGTCATGACCGAGGTAAACCCCTCCCTGGTACCCCTATTCTTCCATCATTTTCTTCCTTCATCTCTTCCGTTGTTAGTAGTAGTGGTAACAACAACACTACTACTGGACGTGGCAGAGCCCCTGCCCCTCCTTCGCAATCTGAGCATGAGCTTAAGAGACCCATTTTCTTTAGCAAAGAAGACGCGACTGATTTGACCACTCCCTCTAAAATCCAAATTGGAAATTCCCTAGACAGCAACCTCCCCTCCAGTATTTTATCTGCCTTGTCTAGTGCCGGCCGTGGAAAGCCCCTCGCTAAACAATTGCTTCCCGACGACATGCCTAAGGAAGAAAATCGCCACCTCAGGTCCCGTCATACTGCTATAGGGAGAGGCCAAGTATCCACTAACACTAAGAGCAGTGCAACCCCAAAGTTGAGCCGCGAGGACGCTGTGAAGAAGGCTGTGGGGATATTGTCGAGAGGCGGCGTTGATGTGGCAGACAAAGTAGAGGACGGTGGGACGGGAAGAGGCAGTTTTAGAGGGAGAGGCACTCGTGGCGGTGGTGGCCGAGGGAGGGGCTGGAGAGGTAGAGGAAGAGGCGCAGGAAGAGGAGGCCGTGGGGTTCAAGATGCGGACGATGACTATGGAGCTGGCCTTTATCTTGGTGACAATGCTGATGGTGAGAAATTGGCTAAGAGGATTGGGCCCGAGAATATGAATAAATTGGTGGAAGGATTCGAAGAGATGAGCGGTAGTGTGTTGCCTTCTCCTATGGATGATGCCTACTTGGATGCTCTCCACACTAATTTCATGGTAAACCATATTGTATTTCTATATTAATTAGTACCGGACTAAGCAATTTTCGCTAATAGTTATTTGACATCTTACTTCTTCATATACTTTGTGGTTTTGAAGATTGAATGCGAACCAGAGTACTTGATGGAGGAGTTTGGTACAAACCCAGATATTGACGAGAAGCCGCCCATTCCTCTTTGGGATGCACTTGAGAAGATGAAGCCATTCCTAATGGCTTATGAGGGAATTCAGAGCCAAGAAGAGTGGGAGGTATGCCTAAACCCTATATTCTCCTATCATATTTCTTATGCTGATTTTGTTTTTCTTTTGAGGCACTAAATATTGGTTTTTACAACTTAACAGTTGCTGGTTCGAAAAAGGCAATAGGTCATAATCATGTTTTTAAATGGTTGTTTTCTTCTTCTTCTTCTTCGTTATTTTATTTAAAAAATTACTGTGTTAGAACGTGTAATGAACAACATCTTGTAATGCTAATACCCTTCTTGACCTATATTTAGGTTTTTGTAACTCATAATCGTGGTAATTTTTTTTGATATTTTCTCTGTTAGTGTTTCTTTGTCCATCTTGCTCCTATGTTTTAGCCTAGTCAGTGCTGTATGTTTGATTTTATTTTGCCTATCATATATAGTTGGTGATAATTCACTCTTCCACTGGTATTTATAACCTAGCTAGTGTTGTCTCTATAACATACATTACATCCTGATCAATCTCTCCTTTCTTGTGATATTCGGTTGACTAAGCTAGGAAATTGTGCTTGTAAAGGACAGATGATTGGCAACCTTTTGTTTTAGGCATGTTTTTCCAACAAGAAACGGTGTTCTGGGAGAGATTTTTTTGGTGAAGATTAGCATCTATAGACTTAACTGTATTAGCGTCTATGCTTAAACTATGGACCCAAATTACTGTATTGGTTGGGCTTATTGAACTTTTTGGTTGCACTCAATTCCAAGAGACATTGAAACAAAGAAACACCTCTTACGCACAATGTTAACAAATCTAGAAATAAATTTTCTAAGACATGGGTTCTTTTTTGTTGGACCAAGCACAAGCCCAAAGAAGCGACCATGTGAAATATTCCCAATAACCACATCTTCTGCTCCCCTTTCTTCATCATTAATAGTCTTGTAAATAAAAGCATCTTTAATTAGCAAAGTAGTCCTGCTTTCTTTTCTTTTAAATAGCTGATAACATTGCAACTTAAACTACTCTGTTATGGAAAATCTTCTATGCCATGTGGTTGGCATTACAAACTAGCCACAATTTTCCTCCATGGGTCTGTTTGGTGCGGCTTATCTGAGCTGCTTATAGCTTTTTTCTTTTTTTATTTTGTATTCTAGGAGTCTGTGTCAGAATGTTTTGTGCAGTTTTTTGCTTAGAACTTATTAGGTAGAAATAACTTAAATACGCTAAAAAAAGCTAATTATATGAAAGTTGGGGGAGGGTTGCTTTTAGCCTCTGCTTTCTGATCATTAGCTTTTAGATTACAATAAGCTTCATCAAACATATATGTTGGGCTTAGACTGATCAATCACAAAGCAAGGAATGCTAAAAAGAAATGGTTGACCGGTTTTAAATGTGATTTGAAGAGCTTGCATTATAGAATTTTCTCAACTCTCAAGATTATGTCCACAGTTGCAGACTAGAAAAGGAATGTTACTTAGTTTCTTTATCACCATGATTCAATACTTGATGCTGCATTCTTCTGTATTTTCTTTATCGTCCTCTGTACAATTTGTTACTGGTTCACCACTGCTGTGTTCATTCTCCTTTATTACAATAGTAATGGAACTTGTTGGGTCAGTGCTGCCTTAATCCATAATCAAAGCATGTCATTATTTTTAGTCTTTATGTTGAGGCACATGCAATGACTTTTGACATCTTATAATTTAGAAACTTTAAGTTGTTTTTGATATTTTTTTCTTTTTCCTTTTTTTCTGCATGCAACCTTGAGTTATGCAAGGTCATTTTTTTCTTGCTTGCTGATTAACTACATAATGTGATTGTATTTTCTCTCCTGACTTTAAGGTCGCAACATTGGGAGACATATGCTTATGCTTGTTTCATCACAAAAATTTAGTCATTTCACCTTTTTTTCTTTTTGATTATTTATAGCTGGATTTTGATTATTTGGAGATATGGTCTCATTCAGTAGCACTTCGTTATTTATAAGGTGTCTTGATTTTCGATGCTCCAAAGAGGTAATAATATTCTAGATTTCCTCCAGCTAAATAGGACGACCTAGTGCACAAGACTCCTACTAAAGTAAAGTTGGGGAAGGGCAAGATGTACACGACATGTCTCCCATATTTCTAGAAATGCTGTTTCTAGGGATGGGATAGGGTTTTCTTCAGCTATGCTCAATATTACTTTTCCTGATTATAGCTGGATTTGGATTCTTATGGTTGATACTCCACTCCATATTGATGGTGTGGTTGTTAAAATCATGACTCGGTGTAATCCTAAAACTCTTCATAGAACCAAACATGCAACCTCTCCCTACTATTAAAATACTTCAATAAAGTGGCAATTTCATAAAAAGAGCTCTCTCGGCTTCTGACATTGATTTCCATTAGACTCTACCGGCTTTACCAATAACAACATATTTAATCTCCGGATGCATCTGATTTGAACTACTTCTCATGAAGATTAAATAAAGCACTAATAGAGGATTCTTCGGTAAAATTTTCCCTCCAAAATGGGACTGTTCCAACACATTAGGAGGCTTCACCACTCTATTATCCCCTACCAAACACCCATCCTTGATCTCCTTTCCGCGCTGCCCCACCAAAGCTCCCCTTACCTTCTTTCCATTGTAATCAATTATACATTAAAACTTTTTAAATTTCTTGTTCTTCCTAGCAGATGATTTTCCCTTCCCTTATTCATCTAAACCGTATAGCTCTTGATTTATCATTGTCAAGACAAGTACAATCATGGATCTTCCTACCATCTTCCTAACCATTAGTTCAAAATTGTACGTGACTTAGGTTACCACCTTTATCATTAGTGAGGGTAAACTTCTTAAATTTACCAGTGTTCTTATCAATTGTTACGAGAATTAAAGACCCATTATCATCAGTTTGAAGTGAACCCTTAGAAACAAAATCCTTCCTTTACTAGACCCTATCTCAAACACTGATGGAACCTACAAAATGGATTATCATTTGAATCGTCAAGGCTCTCCACCTCAACTCCACAAGGAGGAATCACAGCCAAAGGAGACTCCACAGATTGCATTTCCACGATAGAATTAAGCTTAACCACAACCTTCTTATAATCTAAACCTCCCTCCAAGGAATGTGAGTATTTTTAACAAACCCAATGCCACCCTACTGAAGCAACTTCAATATCAGTTTGAAGTGAACCCTTAGAAACAAAATCCTTCCTTTACTAGACCCTATCTCAAACACTGATGGAACCTACAAAATGGATTATCATTTGAATCGTCGAGGCTCTCCACCTCAACTCCACAAGGAGGAATCACAGCCAAAGGAGACTCCACAGATTGCATTTCCACGATAGAATTAAGCTTAACCACAACCTTCTTATAATCTAAACCTCCCTCCAAGGAATGTGAGTATTTTTAACAAACCCAATGCCACCCTACTGAAGCAACTTCAACACTTTATGTAAATCTAATACATCCTCTTCCTTTTAACCAACATCAACCGCAACATCTTATCAAGCTTTTACCTCATCGTGACCTCCTAAAAGAACCCCTCCAATAGAAAAATTGCCACCCTTGTCTGAACAAGCCGTCATAGGGTTCCTTACAACCTTTGAAGTAGATGAAACCCTCCTAAGGATATAAAGGTTGAAGAACACTTGAAACTCTCTCAAGAACTCATAGGGCTACTCAAACTCAGAGGCATAAGCCCTTAAAATATATTAGGTCATTTCTATGAGCATAGACATGGCAAAATCAGTGCCGTAGCGGTGTTGGACATAGGGACACACCGGGGACATGCCACAGACAAGTACGGGACAAGCCATTTGCGGTGTCCCTTATTTTTTTTTATTTTTTATTTTTTGTGTTTTTAGTGTGGGACACAACAGGGACAAGAGAAGAGACCTAATTTTAAAATCAGAAGAAAAAAAAGAGGGAAGAGAAAATTGAACCTGGTCATCGTCCGAAGTTGATCTCCATCTTCATTAAGCTCCATCGCAGTTGATCTCTATCCTGGTAAGCCTCTCGTCTCTGGTCCTCTCGCCTTTCGTCTCTCTTTTTCTGTCTTCTCGCCTCTCGTCAATCTCTTTGCCTCTCGTCTTCTCATCTACAGTCGCGATCGATCAACGAACTCCATCCAGTGTCTCTCTCTCACCTCTCGCTTGCTCGTTTTGTCTCTCACCTCGTGATCCATCGACGAGCTTGTCACTCTCTCTCTCTCACTAGCCCTCTGTCTGGCTTTCTCTCTCACGTCACGATCTATATACATAATCTATATTATATTTATATCTTATATATGTATTTATTGATATATTACATATTTGTTTATATTTATATGTATTATATTTATATATTAGATTTATTTATTTAAATGTATTAATAAAATATGTTGAATTTTTTTTTTTTTTTTCTTCATTTTTTCCATGTCCCCTGTTGTGTCTATGTCCCCATTTTTTGAAAATTGTGGTGACTCATGTCCATGTCCATGCTTCATAGGGTCCTATATATGAAAAGAGCAATTAGAAAGCTAAAGCAAGTCAGATTAGGTCAATTTCTGCATGAGCACTGCTCATTGGAAGAAAAACCAATAAAAAATAGGCTTAATCGCTTGATCTCTAAGCGAGCCCTAAGTGAGTGCTCCAATCTGGAAATATCAATAGCAAAATCAATGTCTGCACAATGGTGATTGATTACTTTTAAATGGGCTCGATTGTTATTCTACTAGGGTGCTCTAGTGCTTATCAAGTGTGCATGAAGGCTCAAGCGTTTATCAAGCCCTTGTCTCTAGAAATGTGCAAACTCACTAATGTTTCTAAAAATTATCATATGGTCAATGCAATACTCATCTAATGCAAAAAGATTAAAATTAGTGCACTTTGAAAAGATAAATGCATTAAATTGCTTTTTGTTGTGGATAGGGACTGTAGCAGTAATTCTTTAAATATATAATATTCTGTTGTCATTCACCAGTTGCTTGTAACTTTTATCTTTTCAACTTTTCAAGGAAGTTGTGAAAGAAACAATGGAGAAAGTCCCTGTTATAAAAGAGCTTGTGGATCACTACAGTGGACCGGACAGAGTAACTGCTAAGAAACAACAGGAAGAGCTGGAAAGGGTTGCAAAAACTCTTCCTCAAAGTGCATCTGCTTCAGTTAAGCGTTTTACTGATCGTGCTATTCTCTCTCTGCAGGTGGGGCTTCTTTGTAATGCTTTATGTTAATTCTACATTATGGTTTACATAATGGTGCTAAACTTGACAGGCTCTACGTATTTTGTTGATTCTGTGGCTTTTTAAGCTTTAATCCTGGTATGGGGGGTTTTGTGGCACCATTGCTAGATATGTGGTACCTGTTGTGGTCAACCACGAAGATGGGTGCCATTGGTTCTATGTGAGAGATTGTTTTATATATATATATACACATATTGGGGAAAGTATCCGAATACAAAATAATTTCATCTAACAGAGAAGGAAACAAAATAGGAAATGTAGAAGCAAGAGAATAAGCTGTGTGATTTGCTAAATTACCTGTAAACCTTGGTAAAAAGATATGGCTTGCATTAGCACATGCCTCTTTGATGTTTGCTAAATCATCTGATTGCCCTGATTTCTACCCATGTTAATTGGTAGGGTAAATTACAAACACACTCCCTGAGGTTTACTTCAATTATAAATTACCCCCGCGGTTCTAGAAATTACATTATGTCCTCTAAGGTTTCTAATTTCATAACAAATAGGTCTTTTTATTAATAAATCATTAAGTTAATTAACAGTTTTTAATAATGTTAAAATTTTATTTCAATTAATAATTCAGATAATTTTATTATTATATAGGTGAATGGTTAGAAATTTCACTTTTTTTAATTAATTTTGTTAAATAAAAAATTGCGACATGGAGGTATTTGTAATTTTTCAAACCACAAGGGACAATTCGTATTTTAAGCAAACCTCAGAGGGTGTATTTGTAGTTTACCCTAATTTGTAAATGAGACATGTATTATTAAATTTGATTTTCGTAGTGATTCCTGCGTAAAATTGGGAGTGCTACCAATGAAACACTAAAGAAAGTATATAGGGAATGTTTGTTGATGTCAGTGTATTATGTTTGGATAATTTCCTCTTTGTTGATATGCTCATCTCCCTCATTTTTTTCATTGTTATATATATGTATATAAAAAAATCTTGCTAAAAATATTAAAACAACTTGCATAAATCTACAGAAAAGAATCTGAAAAGAATTATGAGTGGGTAAAAGAAATTTGAAAGAACTCCCTTGATGTTTATGACGACTCTTTGATTTGAAATTCTGCACAGGGCAGACTTTGTAATTTGTTTGTAATATGATATATATAATGCAGAGCAACCCAGGCTGGGGATTTGATAGGAAATGCCAGTTTATGGATAAGCTGGTGTGGGAGGTCGCACAGCATTACAAGTAAGCTTTGGAATTTGCAGACAGGAGTGAAATGGATTCACAATTTTGATCATTGAAGGTGGTTGTCATTAGGGAATTTCGAGTGCTGCTGCTGGTTCATTGAGGAATAATTCTATTCTTACTTTTTCCTTTGTTGAATACTGAAATTTTATTTTGTGTTTGCCCTGTCTGTCTTTTGAGGAGTGAGGATTTTGTAGTGCAAATTTGATGTTGTAATAATTTCTGTTAAAAGTCGGTTTTTTTTTTTTTTTCTTTTTTTTCTTTCCCTCTCATAAAACTAACTTATATACCTAAGTGTTTTAATAATTTATTCAAAAATATAGTAAAGAAAGTGTAGAAATTGTATTCATTTTATATATCATAACCTCTTTCTTACTTCGACAATGGAAAATGTTTGGTGGCCACAAATTCTGTGGCTCAAATGGCCTGAAAATGTCAAAACGGCGTTGTTTTGGCATTTTCGCAGTTGTTTTGTACCTAAAACGACGTCGTTTTGGCATTTTCAGGCCATTTGAGCCACAGAATTTGTGACCACCAATCATTGCCGTTCAATAATGCTTAGCTTGTGGGATTAGCTCTATTTATGGCAGTGCAAAACTTTTATACTCATTTGTACCCTTGTGCATAATATACACTCCTATATTTTTATTTCTTTGTGGCTGGCTCCATTTTGTTTTCTGCACTTTCATCCCTAAAAATGTATGCTAATGTCAGTAGTGTAAAAAAAAAAAAAATTCATCAGAGCACTTACTTTTGTTCATGTTTTTGTCTTCTTGTTTTAATCGCCATAACTTGCATATTTCTTTAGATGATACATCTTTTATTAACTATTACATTTAATATTCAGTAGTATTCTTTATTATTTTTTGTTATTTATTTTTCCGTAGAAGTGTTCATTTTTAATTTGGGAACGATTGATTGCCGAATATCCCACTAAAATTAACTCGTTGCATTTAAGTTTCAAAAGCCTATAAATTACAAAATTGTTACTAATGGAGAATTTTGTATTAAAATTATGTAAAAATGGGATTTTCTTTAGCCCAGAAGTCATTTTCATTCTCTAAGGACCAAAACACTCTCTCGCTTATGCTGGTTGGGCAAGGGACAGTTGTCGGTGGATTGTAACAGGGGGCGGGAAGGAGGAGCAGATCTGTAAGGGGAGAGAGAGAGGACATAATTAGGTGCGAGGATTTAAAGCTTTTGATACAACTTGCAATTTTTCTGAGGTGGCACTAATTAATTGGTTGGCCGTGAAAGAGGGATTCACTGCACACCCTTGAAAAACTTAATCTCTAATTTAATAATCTAACAAAATACAAACAATGGACTTAAAATGTAGATACATGCTTGTAATAAATATCATATAAAGTTTTATGAAACTAAATTAAAGATGATTACATAATATATAACAACAAAAATGTTAGAGGCTTTAAAAATTCTATCAAAAGTTTTACCAAATGTCTCACATGGATGTAGAGTTTTACCAAATGTTGTGGGTCCCACACCCATGTGAGACATTTGATAAAATTTTTGATAGAATATTTAGGTTCTCTAGGATTACTCATATAACAAAACATTACAAACTAATTAAAAGGAGAATTTTCATAAAAGATATTTCTACCTAACATTTATTGGCTTTAATAATTGACAGGCCTGCTTAACGTGACCTTGGTTCTTTTAAAAAAGCAAAAAAGAAAAAAAGAAAAAATCACCACGTACGACAAAAGACAATCTCAATTGCTTGAAGTAGGACAGCTGGTAGATGCTTGCTCTCGCTCTTGCTCTTGCTCTTGCGCTCTCTCTCTTTTTTAAGTTTGTGGCTCCTCTTCATCCATTGTATCACCAATGGTGTGGCCCCTTGTCTCCGGCAGAAATGTGACGAATAACCCGCATAACCCAATCGTCACCCCAAACACCCCATATGACAGCAATCCTGAATTATTCCTTCCAGCTGCGACCAAAACAGGGCTGAACACCCCACCCAAAACCACTGCCTGCCTCAAAATAGACATTACCGAGTTCCTCACACACGTCGGAAACAACTCTATCGTGTAAATCAGCAGCACGTTAAACGCAGTGCACGCACTGAAGAATGATACCATCTCCAACCCAATCTGCAACCCCCTCCACCACCAACACCACGAGGACGTCATCATCTTGCCTCCCTGTCCCTGTCCCTGTCCCTTTCCATTATTATTTACTATTATAATCATCATCGCAGCTCCTCATGACCACTACCAAGAAAGAGCACATCACGCTACACATGCCGCTCAACGTGGTGAACCCTAATAGGGAGCCTTTCCTGTTCAGTCTCCCTACTACTAAGAATGTGACCAGCGACGCAGGCAGCTCCGACAGGGCGTTAAACGTCGTGCTCAGGTACAGATTCAAAGCCAAGCTCCCCACCCCCAGCGGCATCCTATAGTACACCATCCCGATCCCAAAACCAATCACCATAACTGCCAACAATCGTTTCAAAGCCCAACTTTTCTCCAGCAGCATCTTCATGGCCCAGTACAAGTAGAGGCCGCCAACCACCACCACGACATCGTCCTTTTCCTTGTCCTTGCATGATTCCTCTTCTACTACTTGAACTTGTTCACTATCATCATCATCATCATCATCAATGGACGTCACGTCGTCAAGCTACTGCGTTTTGCAGGGGTTGCAATGCAAGAGTCTTAAGCGTGACGAGGAATTCTTGTTTACGTCCTCGGAGGAAGAGCCATCTGGGAGACTCGAGGGCTAAGAAATGAAATAAGACACAGTAGAAGATTGCAGGAACACATGTCCACGGATACAGTAACCTCCATGAAGAGCCCCTATTGAGGTAAGCGATGGCTGGTAAGGATAGAAAGCCAAGGGTGAAGCAAATGAAGCCAATAATACCGACCTGGGGTCGCCAGCGTTTCCCGACGAGCTCCGTGGATAAAACGAGAGCGAAGGTTCCAATGGTGGAACGGCCAAAGCCGCTAACAAATCTGAGGGCTGAGTAGATCCAGATGTTGGTGGAGAAGAACACTGTGGAGAGGCCAGCAAGTGACATGAGGAGGCAGAATAGGAGTAGCATGTTCTTGCGACCGAGTGGTGAGGAGTCTGTCAGGGCCTGCCTGAGTTCGTCGGGGCCTAAGGTAAATTTCGGAAATGGAGTCCTTTTATATTGAAAAAAAATTCATGAATAAAACGATAAGTTACAATTTTTTTATTTGTTTGTAACCATAAAAAAATTTACTTACACATATAATCATTAAAATTATAAATAAAACAATTTAATAAAACAAAATTAGAACAAAAAATTTAGGAAAAAATTATTCAATTAAAATTGATAAAGATCTAGGTAAAAAAATTTGAGCAAAATTATTTATTCCACTAAAATCTAATAGATAAAGAAGATAAAAATAAAAAATAAAAAAAATAGGGCCCATATATTGTATGTATTATTTTTCTTGAGCCCAAACACTTTTTTTTTAATATATATTTTCATTTTAATAAATATGGACCAAACTACACTTATAAATAAATATGGAGTAAATCATACATGGACCCAAAAAAATATTTTTGGGCCCTTTAAATTGATCCTAAAACCAAAAAAAAAAAACATTGAGCCTATAATATTTTACCAAATTTAGGGACCCTATTTTTGAGCCAAATTTAGGGGCTCTATGTTATATATGTTTATATGTTTTACTAAATTTAGGGGCCTATTGTTTTTTATTTATTTATTTATATATTTTCATTTTAATAAATATGGGCCAAACACATTTATAAATAAATATGGGCTAAATTATACATGGACCCAATAAAACATTTGAGGCCCTTTAAATTGATCTTAAAACAAAAAAAAAAAAAGTTGAACCTATAACAATTTTTTAAATTTGAAGATCCTATTTTTAAGCCAAAATATGGAGCCTAAAGCACAAGCCTTACCTGCCTTAGGGCAGGGCTGGCCCTGGAGTCTGTTAGTGTGGCCAGGATGAATCCACCGGCAAAGCAACCCATGAAGAATGATGACGCCGGCAGCCCTGTCATTATCGAACCGGCGCACTCCAATGACCACTCTGAGATTATGGAGGTGTCGATAGGCATATCCCAAGCCCATGAATTCCTCGGAAGTTGGCAGATCATCATCATCGTGTCACCACCACCAGTAGTAGTAGTAAGGTGCCATGCTGGTTGGGCATCCGTGAACACACTGACGAAGGTTTGTTGTGCGTCAAAGACCCAAGCAACTGACACCAGGGCAGCCTGAAAGAACTGAGCCCACCCGAAATCTCCTAGACACTGTTCGATAGTCTCATCCAAGGTGGAGGAGGAGGATGAGGGGGGTATGTATTTCTCATCACCCTCTACCCTCCTAATACCACTCGGAGTTTCTGACTCGGTTCGTGATAGAATTAGGGGAGTTGGATCAGCCATCTCTCTCTCTCTCTCTCTCAACTATACTCTTTCCTTTGCTTTGCTTGCGTCCCTCTCTTTTGTTACCCTCCTTTCTAAATACTGAGAACAGACACAGACAGAGCGCATGATCACGACTAGAGGTCTCTAACTTATCATACAATAATATGATTTTCTTATAATATAATGATGTATATTAATATAATGATGTCAAGTCAGTGGCTTTAGTCTGTGACGACAGTAGATCGGTATTGAACGAATCACAACCAAAAAATAAAATTTAAAATTTAAACATCCTAGCTAAAACCATCCATCCGAACGTAGAATAGCTTAAACATCCGTGTTAATTAACTTAATTTATACAAAAAAACAAAAACTATCCAACTGAATATAGATTAACTCAAACATCAGTGTCAATTAACTTAATTATTACAAAAAAACAAAAACCATCCAACCGATCATAGATCAGCTTATTTATCAATTCTCTAGGGGCCTTGCAGAATTGGTTAATGATACTCTTTTAATCTCGTGAAGTGTCCAACAAAATAAACGATTCAAATCATTGAATTTGCATCAGCAATGGATCACAGACTCAAACAAAATCTTTCAATTTAGATTTTAGACAAGAGAGGATTCTCCTCCAAAAAATAAAAGTATTTTCCCTACTATACTAAGGGTGAACACACTACAGGAAATGCCACTTTTGGCGACCAAAATATTGGTCGCCAAAAGTCCCATTTTTGGTCGCCGAAACAATTAGCGACTAAAATATTTTGTCGCCAAACTAGTCGCCTATACGCTGTCGGCGATAGTATTGGCGACTAAACTATTTTTGGTCGCT